TTGCGGATACATTGTGTTGGAGATCCACTTTAGTAGAATCCTAGGTACCGTAAAAGAGCAACACATTTTTTTTGGCTTTTATCACTTTGTTTTGAAGGGTACACGACGATAATCACACTTATATGTCACCCCTCCGTTCTCTACTATTCTTCCCTTATCTCCTTTCATTTCTCTCATTCTCTTTCCTTTTCATTGTCAAAATTTCTCTTAATTTTTTAACTTATGGAATCCTACGAGGCTACAATTATTTCAATGCAAAATTCGCCTGAAAAATATTTCACCACTTCCTCTCTTATAAACATAAACTCATGATTTAGGCTTTTAGGCGATTTGTAATTCTTCACATGCCGTACATGGTTTTTATTTTCTTCATGCCACAAATTTCAACATACATGCAATCTTTCTATAAACTATTATGCTTGATGGATGAACTTGAATTATGTTAGGTTATTTTATCGTTACTCCTTAAATCTATTCACATGTAACATCAGCAGACGTGGAGGACCTCATGACAGAATGACAATTCATTTAGGTAATCCTCATGCGTCCGCTGGTGGCATTCTCACTGTTTTGTAACTATTTCATGTTATATGCTCTGTGTTGTCATTTTTGTTCGTTCATACATGTACCTGGAAATCAATTAAATTAAAATTAAATTAAATTAAATTAAATAACCATGATAAATTAAATTAAATTAAATTAAATAACCATGATAAATTAAATTAAATTAAATAAAATAACCATGATAATGTGAATCACGTTTATCTGAAGAGCTGATAAGAAGAAAAATGATTTCAAAGTAGGCCATACTAGCATATTGCACTGAAATATGATTCATTTGAAATATAAATGTAATCATAAGAGTTTTGTTTGTACTGCATTTTGGGGAAAACTGTTGATTGTTTTGTCCCTTCTCATTGTAAAGACAAAGTGAATGGATTGTGACCAGCAAAGTAGCCAAAATAAGACTGAAACATTGCTCGAATCATAAATCTACGTGCATCTGTTTTTACTGTTTTCGATTTCCCAATAACTTTATAGACAGTTTCCAATCGCGTCTGGACAGTTCCTCTCGTACATGTCATGCAGTTAGATTTAATGGACCAGCACTCATCTTTATCTGTATTGGTATCAAAACTTTAGTCGCTCTGTTGAAATGATTTCAGGTATTAAACAGTTATTAGATGACTGTAATTTCTGTACATTAGTTGCTAATCAACATGAATGTTTATGAATCTGTATGTACTTTGCACATTATCCTGGTGAGACTACATGTGTGACAATATGTACCATGTTTTTACTTGATTTTTTTTCTAATGGCCATTAGCCAAATTCCGAAATGCAAACTCCATTTTTTTAAAAATAAAGTTACAATTGAAATATTTTAATGAAGAATTAAATAGCGCAATGGGTTCATATAGACTACGTGGTAGTGAACTATTAAAACGACCAATATCTCTCTTGTTTATTACAAGCCTTAACTCCCAAAGAACCTCAGGAATGTTAACACTTATTTCCCCCCAAAGGTCGCTTGTACTTTAAAGACCGTCACCACTACTGGGCCAGAAGGGATTAGACCACACAAAGAGCCATCAAGGTCACTGTGAGAGGTGGCTATCTCATTAACCCAGCTCTCATTTAACATAAGAAAAAGAGGATCATGGGGGACCAACAGGCACCGATTCGGGAAGTTTCTATATAGAGGGAGCAAGTTGCTACAAGTATGGCAGTGTGCTTTTAAGAGTACTTTTCAGAATGTGATCGAAACATTAAAGTGCTGAAAATTAGTCATGTAAAGAAGGACCTTGACTTAATTTTTTTAGAAATGTGTACACCATATCCCCTTTAATAGGAGACAATATGTGTATAACCATGCAGGCAGGAAGGGACTCCTTGAGGGTACTTTGTCCCATTTGCAGGCCAAAAAAATGAAAAGGTTAAATTCCAACGGCATTTAAAAGACAACACTGATTAAGAACTACCCTCAAAATGAACGGGCTTGAAGATGGCTTTTAGGGGGAAAACAACAGTTGTCGAATCGACTTAAGTAATTGCAATCAGCTAAGTTATTTTCTGATTTTCAGACCCTTTTACTAAATGGTCGTACGTTTTGTGCTGCACAAAGATTCAATCAGTTTAATTTTGGCCAGTACAAGTAGTGGGTTATTGATGTAGACAAAATAATGCTCATGTACCTGTTACAGCTCATGTTATTGCCAACGATAAAAGATGTCAGTCAGTCACTCAATAGTGTCTGACAGTGAAGTCTAGAAGGTAAACGGGTTTCCTTGCATAATTTGGATACTAGGATACTGATAATGTTTAAATGTCACAGATAAGACATAAATGACATATTCATAATTCCTTCAAAGTTCTACAGAACTTGATATTGACTGCAAAAGAGACAGAGTTTTAATTTAAAAGAGCAGGCGGAAAATACATTTTTGTAGCACAGTTCTATTTCTATAACTCTTAATCGTGTAATTACACAGTATAAACTGTGCTTTCGTGATACCAACGGAATACAGATTCACAATATTTACTTGTACATTTTAAAGGATATTGTGCGATATTATATGAGCCCCTCCCCCTTTTCAAAATGCCCTTTTTAACATCTGATAAATGCCCTATTAAAATCTGATAGAAGTTTTAATAATTGACGTCAATGAAAACAAAACCTTTGAACTTGATGGTATATAGTATTCAGCAATAGAGGGCGAAAAATATCGGCTTTGAGTCCCTCTCTCTCTCTCTCTCTCTCTCTCTCCAGGCTCTCACTGTCACTCTATCTTTGTTATAGCCCTAATGGTGAATTATGTCTGTCTCAAGAGCTGATAATATGAGAAGTATATCAAATTGAAGATGTTACTATACCCTATATTGCACGGACATATGATTTATTTGAAATAATCATGCATAGACCCTACAACATAGGTCCATGAATTAACGATATGATTTTCTCTCATCACCATTCTGTCGGATATATGCTTCTATCTTTCCTTTTGTGTCTCTCTCTCCCTCTATCTCTCTCTCTCTCTCTCTCTCTCTGTCATTCTCTCTCTCTCTCTCTCTCTCTCTGTCATTATCTCTCTCTCTCTCTCTCTCTCTCTCTATCTCTGGCACCCCCCCCCCTCTCTCTCTCTCTCTCTATCCATTTCTCCACCTCCCCTCGTATAAACACATGAATATTCCCAAAGTATATTATGTGCAAATCCTTCAAGGTCTTTCTTTTTTTTTTACCTCAGTAACAATGAAACAAATTCAGGCAAATGTTTTAATAATCTGAAAAATAAACTGCTCTTGTTATTTTTTTAATTTGGTTACGCTTGTAGTAATAACAAAGGTATACCATTTTCTTTACAGATGGCGACATCAGTGAGTACAATATATATGACACAAATATCCAGTGTCAATAAACAATAACATTTACTTACAACAACAAAATGTAGATGTAATATATGCTCTCTTTACTTTCTATTTATAATCTTTTTTTAAAGACAAAAAGTTAGAGGAAAATTCAAAATATGAACTTTGAGACATGTGTTACAGGTACTTTACAAAAATCTGTCCAAAAATATTCATCTGGAAAAAAAAAACGCCAGTCTGGAGAATGCCCTCGCAGTTGTTCCCCAGAGCCCTAAAAAAGGGAATGCAAGTCGATCACATCGGGTCACCGCATCTAAATACCTTGCACCAAACTTTGTCAGGAGGAAGTTGTAGGTAAATTTTTATGACACAAAAACTGAAACAAAATCTTAGGTCGGGATGGGTTTTCAGATGAAAAGATGAAAGCTGTATGACTTTACGTCACCAAAAACGTGATTTTACATCGAGGTGCGGTTATTATTAAAGACCCCCCCCCTTATCAAAATAAAATAATAATAAAAGACAACAAAGAAAAGTGAGAACGAAAATTGTCCACAAGTCAGGTCGTTTAAGCGTACAAGGAATTTCTGCGATGTCATAATATATATTAATCGAAACATACATGTATGCTGGTATGTCATTTTCTAATGATGAGAAAATATTGAAGTTATATTTTTTTCCAGATTCACCCCTGGGTATGCCAAGCATGTCTATTTGCATGACCAGAGGTAGGTTTGATATCCTCATCATTTCTATAATTTTACATGATAATCACAATCCTATGTTACCCAATTCACTTTCTACCATTCTAACATTCAGAGGAAGATATTCCAAATTCTACGTCACTAATCGACGGTCTGTATAGATTTAATTGAATTAAATCGAATTAAACTAAACTGAATTGAATTGAAGCGGTAATCATTATGAAAAGAAAAACTGCCGAATTCACATGAAATATGCAAAGTGACATTACCAATTATAACAGAAATGCAGTAAACGTTTACAAAGATATCATAATATTCTTACATTCCTTAAGATGTTTAGTCAAGGAGCAGAACTTCCGACTGTTAACCTAGGCCTATGTTTCCTTAATTGTTTTTCACTACATCATAACAAACTAATCCGTCATATTATCACTTCCCAGAGCTTTCAATTTAATGGCTTTTTAGACAGAGTGCAAAGTGAATACGATGGAATTTATCATGGGAAATAGCACCATAGTCCTCCAAGGAATTTCTAAAATTGTATTTGATGTATTAGGCAAGTTCAATGTAACATCTATACGAAGAGTAAAATTATATCATTAAATGGAAACAAAATAATAATACCCATAACTGTACAGGATAACCCGTGAAAGCTGAAAAGCTTATTTACAATGAGGTCCTATTCACAATGTCAAATGACACTGATAAGAAGTTAATCAATATCTTACCAATTTTTAAGTTGTTCATTATGATATCATATCAATGGCTTTCAGTAAATATCTAGGAGAAACGATTACACAATAACATACGATTTCGAGAGAGGGAAGTTATAATTATATTGGATAATGACCACGGTATTCAGACAATTAAAATCTATCGAGAGAATAGGCATCTTCTCATTCGGCTAGTTATCACATGATAAACAATATAATATGACACATTATAGGCCCATATTAATTAGTGAAGAGCTGGAGCAGAGAGGTATACACATCAACAATAATGGTAATATAGAGTGTGACATGTATTACAGTGATACTTTGATAAAATACAACTTCTCGCTACAAGCAAACGCGAGCATGTCTGGAGAGAGGGAAGCCAAGTAACACCAACTATCGTCAAGCGTCAGATTAAGTACATTGAACTCAACTCTCTCCTTCAGGTTCAAAACATCAAGGTCATACAATCTGATCACCACGTTACCCTTCTTACTATCAACACTCGCTACATACACCCTGTCCTGCTCATCCACGACAGCATACAGGTTGACATCAACTGGAGCTTGTAGAGACTTACCAGCATTCCCATCCCTGTCATAGACCGTCACCACGCTTGGATTGATGTAACATGAACTCGTGACGATCAAACCCGACCTGGTGGCAGATACCTGCATCGTATCGTTCTGTTTTGTTGGAACAGTGTGTTTGAGAGTGGATCCAGTCGGGTCGTAGATATAGACTTTCTCCGCATCGTTAACGATGAGGATTTCATCTGATGGACTTCTGTTTAGTTGGAGATCGTTGTCATTGCTATTCACGTGGATGGTTGATTTCCTGGATCCATTTGGAGAATATATGTGTGCTTTTAATGTACTGTCCCCCGATACGCATAACGACCCGTCTTGTTGAAACACAAGAGCATTACACTCCATGTTACTTGGTATGTTTGCATACTGGTGCTTTTTACCAGCTGTATCAATGATATCTATACCATGTTCAACCAAATATCCGATAGCCACACTATCATCAGAGTACTGGGTCATTCCCCACATCCATCCCCGTAGATCTACACACTGAATGACTTGCAATTTGGGATCTGATTCTGAGATGCTCCCGAGGTCAAGACGAGTATCATCTGCGGGCTTGAACCTCTTCTCCTGTGCTTTCTTCTTAATGGTTGCCGCAGAAGTGTGATCAGTAGCCTTCTTTAGCATGGCATCCAGCTCCTCACAGAGCAAGGTATGAGCTGACAGATTGTCTGTCTCAAGACGACCAAGTCTGTCATTAGCTACCAGTGTTATTGAACTACAAATACTCTTGATCCTCTGTCGATTGTTGAATTTCAAGACGTTGAGGTCGTCATCGAAACTCCGCTTTAATGCATTGATTTGCTCTATGAGATTTCGATGATTTTCTTCAAGCTCTTTGGCCTTGATGCTGTAGGCTTTACTGACATCGTCCAGTAGTTTCTGCACGGCAGTGTATACTTCATGGCGTTGTACTTCAACGTTCTGAATGTTCTTCTCCAGTTCTGTCTTCTTAGTGGCACATCGCTGGACAAGGTCGTTCACCTAAAAGAAGCAATTAACAGAGAAGTGAAAAGAACATTTTCTAGCAAGAGATGTATGCTAATTACATGGAGCTGGTTTGAAAATGTAACACGGATTTTGCACTCGCCTAAAGTTTCACAAAAGTTAAAACCACGACCAAGCTCCCCCCCCCCCCCATTATCATATACACGTTTCATACGAGGTCAGAGGATTTGAAGGGAAAAAATTGTCTGCTTTCTTTAAAAGGGAATCCAGCCCTTGTAATAAGTCCATTTGTATGAAAGTAGTGATATCAGATCAACAGAATGGAGATGGACCAAATAGTAATAGTATAATAATAATAATAATAATAATAGTCATCATGATGATAATAATGATAAATAATGATAATGCAAATCACTAATACAAGCAATAATTATAATGATACTACTACTTCTATTGCCAACGTGGTAATGATGATAATGATTATGATTTTCATCAACATTATTAATATTATTATTATCATAATAAGTATTAGTATTCTTAGTATTGTTATTGTTATTGTCATTATTTATTATTTATGACAACAAATGTTATTATCATCATCGTCATCATAATCATAGACAAAGACAAATATTTATGTATTGTTACTCTCATGCAAAGTGATTCCAAAAGATAACAAGTGCTATAGGCCCTTTTGAACAACTACAACATAATGAAATTTCACTGATTCCCTACATTTATCTATATGATTTTTGTGGATTTTGATTTTCAGTTCCGAAAAGGCGTAGCTACGAAGTTATCTGGATAATATGGGCACGTGCCCCTTTCACCCCTTAAATGGTAAACCACAAAATGGAGGAGATAGAGGAGTGAGATCAAGAAACAGAAAAACAGGGAGAGAAGAAAGAAACATATGGATTGAGTGGTCCGTTTTTATCAATCATTTGCTTATAATGGCACCCTAAACATTTATTTTGTATTCTCATTAATGTTACATGCTTAGAATATTAGATTTTAGACGGTTGAAAAAAAAGGAACTGAACTAAATAAATAAATTGAGATGATGATACCATGTACTCCTTCATTCCAGGCGCGCCGGAATCGTTCCAATATATAATGATATAACATACATCATGTAAAAGTATTTCTTTAATATTGAGGATTATATAACTCGACAGAAAGTTTACTATAACATTATAATGTAGCGACCGAGCGAAACAATTGACAGGGTTTGTACAATGATAAGACACATTCCAACTATTAAAATGCGAGGAAGCCTAGATGCTGATGGGGCTTTGCTGCCAAATAGGGAGGGGTCTCACTTTGCCCCAAACTTTTAAAAGATAAGAATATCTTCTCCCATGTTGGCGGTGCCTATATTTGTAGACAAGGTTTACATAATATATGATAAACGCGGGTGGGAAAATGTTAATTTCAGGATGCTGAACATTTACAATTCAGATTTCGAATTAAATATATATTTTTTCCTTGCGAGGCAACCCCCACGTGAACTATTGAACCAGTCCCCACCGTCACCCCCTCCCCGCTTCTGGCGCCTATGGAACCTTTAATGAATATCCTTAGGCCGCAGCTAATGCTCGAGGTCAGCCTGATTCTTGATTTTGTGAATTTAATGACCAACTGGGACAGACGTGGATTTTACTATCTTTGTCAGGGAGGGGGATCTCATTTTGCCCCCACCCTTTGTTAGATGAGAGGATCTGCTCCCTCGATTGCGGGTGTATATTGTAGATAGGTTTACATACAATAAACACTGGGCCTATTAATATTCGAGGGATTGTATGTAACGACCTCGTGGAGGAGATTTTATTTTAGGATGTTGACAAATTACTTTCCAGAGCACTTGAAAGCTTATTTTGATGCAAAGGAATATGATGTATTTTTCGTCTCTAGTCTTTTACCTTGCGAGGGGGGCCACAAGGGCTGAAATCAATTTTTGGCCCCAACTTGAATAAAACAGGGACATCATCCCCCTACCTCCCCTCACACTTCCGGCGCCTATACATGTATACCTTCCTCTATCTGAATTGTATGAGTAAATCTTGTCAGGCTTAGCCAAACACAATTATTTTTTGTTGTCACATGAACCCACTTACCTTAAGCCGTAACTGCTGCTCGAAGTCAGCCTGATTCTTGATCTTGTGATTTTGATGACCGACGATCACGCACTTGAGACAGACATGGACCTTACAATCCTCACAAAACATATCTTTGTTCTCTTGTTTGTGGATGCAGCACTTCTCGGATAGATGACCAATACTGACCTTCCCGTTGTTGATATCCTGTATGGATACAATCTCGTGATCTTCATAGACTATAAGATGTTGATGACAATCGAGACACTTATCACAAATGTAGTTATTACATGTACAGCAGAACGAGACGGCATCTTGCTGAAACTTGCAAGCAGTGCATTTTGGACGCATCTCAAGGACAGCGTTCATCCCTCCACACTTGGCGTGGTAATTGTCTATAGTAGGAGACCAGCCTGTAGGTCCCGTGACCAATCTCGGGGAACAAAGGTTTGAAAGTGTTTTTGTGTTCCCTGATGAATACCGAACAATTTTGACTTGGGCTGCCCCCTTGAAAATCCCAGGCATTTTCGTGAGGGGTCAACAAAGGTCATACAGGGTAGAAATTTAAATATATTCCAATCGTGTCGATATGCATATCAAACTACTCGTCTGGTCATGAGGATTCAAAAATAGTATAGTTTACTATACCTCCGACCTTAAATGAGGGCGCTATGGTCAAAAACGTTGAAAGGTCAACACACTTTTGACTGGTGGTCAAATTCACCAACACGGTTAACCTTATCAAATTTCATATCAAATTACTCGTCTGGTCATAACGATTACAAAAATGTATAGTTTGTTATACCTCTGACCTTAAATGAGGGCGATATGGTCAAAAAGGTCAATGCACTTTAGACTGGTGGTCAAATTCACCAACACAGTTAACAACGTCCGATTCTAATGATTTTAGTGTCTAATAATATGTTTTCTGACATAAAAAATTCAACTAAGCAACTTTAAAAACCAAAAGTGGTTGCTATAACCTTGAAATGTCCCTCAAACCCATGGATAAGAAGTTATATATGTTTGTCACCGAAACGGCAGCCATTTTGGATGTACATGGTCAAGGTATGCACTTTTACTTTTGAAAGTTGTATAGTTGAATTTGCCGTGTCAGAAAACATATTATAAGACACTAAAATCATTAGAATCAGACAATGTTAACTGTGTTGGTGAATTTGACCACCAGTCTAAAGTGCATTGACCTTTTTGACCATAGCGCCCTCATTTAAGGTCAGAGGTATAACAAACTATACATTTTTGGAATCCTCATGACCAGACAAGTAATTTGATATGAAATTTGATAAGGTTCACTGTGTTGGTGAATTTGACCACCAGTCAAAAGTGTGTTGACCTTTCAACGTTTTTGACCATAGCGCCCTCATTTAAGGTCGGAGGTATAGCAAACTATACATTTTTTTAATCCTCATGACCAGACGAGTAATTTGATTTGCATATCGACACGATTGGAATATATTTGAATTTCTACCCTGTATGACCTTTGTTGACCCCTCACGAAAATGCCTGGGATTTTCAAGGGGGCAGCCTAAGTCAAAATTGTTCAGTATTCATCAGGGAACACAAAAACACTTTCAAACCTTTGTTCCCCGAGATTGGTCACGGGACCTACAGGCTGGTCTCCTACTACTACAAGTCCGTTCACAGTCACATTGGTGAGGAAATCATCGACACGGTTCACAGACAACTTAGTGATCTTCCTGCAGAGAGGACAGATCATGTGATCGAGATCCTGGTGGGAAAGGTCATAGTTCTTGAGACATTTCCGACAGAAGGTGTGTCCGCATGAAGTCAGGATGGTTGCCTCGTCGAAGATATCAAGACATAGTGGACACGTCAGGTTCTCTAAAGAACTTGGAGCTTTCTCTTCCTTGGTCTTTTCAGCCATTGGTACAAATATCGGATTTTTGGCTTATTACAAAAACGAGCTCATTTTACGCATATATCCAATGTCCAATAAAGCTTAAAAGTTTGATCAGCTAATGTGTACTTAAGTTAAAGCCAACAATCAGTTCATGCAAGCACAAACTGTATGCAGTGACGTAGTAGATTGTAGTTTATACCAATGGCAATACTATGTCCTCAGTCTACGTAATTAACAAGTGCGTCCTAACTGCATGCAGTTCTATACCAATTTCTCAAGTTGATTACATATATGTCGAAAGAGGTGCGAATAACGATGAGCAAAAGTACTGAGTCTCTATTCAAGTGTATACATCAATACAAATGTGATTGCAATGCTGTACGCTCACACTTATTATAAAGTAGATCGTCTGTGAAAATAATACAGTTTGTGCATTTTATGAATAGAAGTGGGTTTTCCCACAGAAAACGCACCTTTGAACTTTTCGGCGGTATTCATCATTTTTAACATATAGAGGGCGACTTTTTAAGTTTCAATTGTGGATACATTGTGTTGGAGATTCACTTTAGTAGAATCCTAGGTACCGTAAAAGAGCAACACATTTTTTTTTTTTGCATTTATCACTTTGTTTTGAAGGGTACACGACGATAATCACACTTACATGTCACCCTTTAGTTCTCCACTATTCTTTCTTTATCTCCTTCCATTTCTCTCATTCTTTTCCCTTTTCATTGTCAACATTTCTCTTAATTGTATGGAATCCTACGAGGTTGCTCTTATTTTAATGCAAAATTCGCCTAAACAATATTTCATCACTGAAGTCCTCTCTCTCATATACAAAATCTCATGATTTAGGCTTTTTACCATGATAATGTGAATCACGTTTGTCTGAAGAGCTGATAATGAGAAAAAATGATAGCAAATAAAATATGAAGGCCATACTAGTAAATTGCACGGAAATATGATTCATTTGGAATACAAATGTAATATTCTAATCATAAGAGTTTTGTTTGTGTTACTGTATTTTGGTAAAAACTGTCGATTTTTGTTTTGTTTTTTCATTGTAAAGACAAAGTAGACGGGTTTCCTTGCATAATGTGGGTACTATGACACTACTAATGTTTAAATTTCACAGATAAGACATACATGACATATTCATAATTCATGCAAAGTTCTACAGAATTTGATATTGGCTGCAAAAGGGACATACAGGGTAGTAAATAAATAATAATAATAACAATATTTATTAAGCGCAACATATCCATCTCTAGAGATGCTCAAGGCGCATACAAAAGAGCAAGCGGGAGATACATTTTTGTAGCACAGTTCTATTTCTATAACTCTAATTACACAGTGTAAACTGTGCTTACGTGATACCAACGGAATACAGATTCACAATATTTACTTGTACATTTTGAAGGATATTGTGCGATTTATATGAGCCCCTCCCCCTTTTCAAAATGCCCCTTTTTGACATCTGATAAATGCCCTATTAAAATCTGATAATAGATAGATAGGAGTTTTGATAATTGACTTGAATAAAAACAAAACCTTTGAACTTGATGGTGTATAGTATTCAGCAATAGAGAGCGACTAATATAATAATTACAGTGCTTATATAGCGCCTAACACTTACTTTGTCAGAAGTCTCTAAGCGGTCTACAATAATGCAGCATAATTACCCTGGCTTATCGGCCTTGATTGTCTCTCTCCCTCTCCCTCTCTCTCTCTCTCTCTCTCTCTCTTTCTCTCTCTCTCCAGGCTCTCTCACTGTCACTCTATCTTTGTTATAGCCCTAATTGTGAATTATGTCTGTCTCAAGAGCTGATAATGTGAAAAGTATATCAAATTGAAGATGTTACTATACCCTATATTGCACGGACATATGATTTATTTGAAATAATCATGCATAGACCCTACAACATAGGTCCATGAATTAACGATATGATTTTCTCTCATCACCATTCTGTCGGATATATGCTTCTATCTTTCCTTTTTTGTCTCTCTCTCCCTCTATCTCTCTCTCTCTCTCTGTGTCATTCTCTTTCTCTCTCTCTCTCTCTCTCTGTCATTATATATATATATCTCTCTCTCTCTCTCTCTATCTCTGGCACCCCCCCTCTCTCTCTCTCTCTCTCTCTATCCATTTCTCCACCCCCCCCCCTCGTATAAACACATGGATATTCCCAAAGTATATTATGTGCAAATCCTTCAAGGTATTTCTTTTTTCACCTCAGTAACAATGAAACAAATTCAGGCAAATGTTTTAATAATCTGAAAAATATGCTGCTCTTGTTATTTTTTAATTTGGTTACGCTTGTAGTAATAACAAAAGGTATACCATTTTCTTTACAGATGGCGACATCAGTGAGTACAATATATTCGACACAAATATCTAGTGTCAATCAACAATACCATGTACTTACAACAACAAAAATGTACATGTATTATATGTTCTCTTTACTTTCTATTTCTAATTTTTGTTTAAGACCAAAAGTTAGAGGAAAATTCAAAATATGAACTTTGAGACATATGTTAAAGGTACTTTACAAAACCGTACAAAACATTATATGTAGAGGCCAGAAGTCTGTCCCAAAATAGTCATAAGAATTGACGAAGCAAAACTTAGACCCTCCATGCTATTATCGAGAGAAAAATGTCACGTCTGGAGAATGCCCTCGGATTGATCCCCAGAGCCCTCGAAAAGGGAATGCAAGTCGATCACATTGGGTCATTGCATTTACCCCTTGCCACAGATTTTGTCAGGAGGAAGTTGTAGAGACGTTATTATGACACAGAAAAATGAAACAAAATCTTAGGTCGGGATGGGTTTTCAGACGAAAAGATGACAGCTGTATGACTATACAGTACGTCACCAAAAACATATAATAACATAAATTTCCATCGAGATGCGGTTATTAAAAAAGACCCCCCCCCCCTATCAAAATAAAATAATAATGAAAGACAACAAATAAACGTGAGAATGAAAATTTTCTCCAAGTCAGGTCACTTAAGCGTACAAGGAATTTCTGCGATGTCATAATTATATTAATCCAAACATATGCTGGTATGTCATTTTCTAACGATGATTTTTTTTATTTTATTAAAATGACGTTTATTCCAGATTCATCACTGGGGGTATGCCAAGTATGTATATTTGCATGACCAGGGGTAGGTTTAATATTCTCATCATTTCTACAATTTAACATATAATAATCACAATCCTATCTTAACCAATTCTCTTTCCACCATTATAAAATTCAGAGAAAGATATTCTAAATTCCACGTCACTAATCGACGGTCTGTATAGATTTAATTGAAATAAATCGAATTAAACCAAACTGAATTGAATTGAAGCGGTAATCATTATGAAAAAGAAAACTGCCGTATTCACATGAAATATGCAAAGTGACATTACCAATCATAACAGAAATTCAGTTAACGTTTACAAAGATTTCATAATATTCTTACGTTCACTACGATGTTTAGTCAAGGAACAAAACTTAATAATGGCTTTTCAGACAGGGTGCAAAGTGAATACGAATGAATTTTCAGGGAACGTAGCAACCATGGTCCTCCAAGGATTTTACAAAATTTAATTTGGTGTATTAGACAGGTTCAATGTATCACTTCTATACGAAGAGGAAAATGATATTATAAAATAAAAACTAAATAATAATACCAATAACTTGACAGGATATAACCCGTGAAAGCTAAAGGGGTCCTATTTACAATGTCAATATCAATTATTTCGTCATTTAAAGGTACAAAATAATCACCACAAAAGTCAAGAAATATAAGCACGAACATTAACAAAAAATATTTGAGCATAACAACATAAAGAAAATGACACTAATAAGAATTGAATCAATATCTTACTTGTTTTTAAGTTGTTCATTATGATATCACTGGCTTTCAGTAAATATCTATGAGAAACGATTACACAATTGACATACTATTTCGAGAAAGGAAAGTTATAATTATATTGGATAATGACCACGGTATTCAGGCAATTAAAATGCATCGAGAGAATAGGCATATTCTCATTCGGTTAGTTATCACATAATAAACAATAGAATAAAATATGACACATTATAGGCCCATATTAGAGCTGGAGCAGAGAGGTATACACACCATAAATAATGGTAATATATAGTGTGGTATGGATTACAGTGTTACTTTGATAAAATACAACTTCATTTCACAAGCAAATGCGAGTATGTCTGGAGAGAGGGATTCAAAGTAACACCAACTATAACCAAGTGTTAGATTAAGTACATTGAACTCAACTATTTCCTTCAGGTTCAGACCATCAAGGTCATAGAGCCTGATCACCACGATACCATTCGCTTGGTCAACACTCGCTACATACACCCTGTCCTGCCCATCTACGGCAGCATACAGGTAGACATCGTCTGGAGCTTGTAGAGACTTACCAGCATTCCCATCCCTGTCATAGACCGTCAACACGCTTGGATTGGTGTTACATGAACTCGTGACGATCAAACCCGACCTGGTGGCAGATACCTGGCTCGTCTCGTTGTGTTTTGTTGGGACAGTGTGTTTGAGAGTGGATCCAGTCGGGTCATAGATGTAGACTTGCTTTTCATTGTTAGCGATGAGGATTTCATCTGATGGACTTCTGTTTAGTCTGAACAAAATGGCATTGCCTTTCACGTGGATAGTTGATTTCCTGGATCCATTGGGAGAATATATGTGTGCTTCTTTACTATCCCCCGATACGCATAACGACCTATCTTGTTGAAACACAAGAGCATTACACTCCATGTTACTTGGTATGTTTGCATACTGGTGCTTTTTACCAGCTGAATCAATGATATCTATACCATGTGTACGATAATATCCGATAGCCACACTATCATCAGAGTACTGGGTCATTCCCCACATTAATCCCCATAGATCTACACACTGAATGACTTGCAACTTGGGATCTGATTCTGAGATGCTCCCGAGGTCAAGACGAGTATCTGCAGGCTTGAACCTCTTCTTCTGTGCTTTCTTCG